CGGTAATATTCGAGGTAGCGTTTCCAACTTCATTCTGGGCGACACACAGGTATTTTCCGCTATTTGTTCTGTTCAAATTCGCTATCATCAGCGACTTGTTGCCTGCTGACAAACTAATCCTGTTACTGCTTCTCTCGAGGTGTTCATAATCTTTGAACCATAACAGCTCTGGCTCTGGATTTCCAGTAGCATTACAAGTCAATGTCACATTTTCCCCTTCTGGTTTCGTAACAATCTGTGGATGAGAAGCTATCTCAGGTCGATCTGTAATATTCAAAAAGAACTGTTTGCTTCCGGGAAACTGCTCAAACAGACGTTTGTCGACTTCAAATTGAGCACATTGAAAATAGACGTTAGTACCGTCTCAAAAACCTATGAAAACTTCAGATATTTGATTCTCTGTTTCTGATTTTCATTCAGCTAAACTCGGTTTTATTAAATATGTTTCGGTGATGAGAATGGGTTTTAGCATGGGTATGCACGGTGGAACAAAACAATTCAGCCATATAAATGACTCTTCTGAATGGAAACGTTCGCTAGCGCAATCCCAAACTTACCAGTCCGATTACCTTTCGGTTTCTATTTAAGCAAACGAAAACGGAAGAGTCCGCTTCGCTATCACTTAGCAAATTTCTCTCCCTACTTTTTCAAAATTAATCTACGTAAAAATGCAAATAAATCATTATTTAGAAGAAAAATTACTTCTAGTAATCTCTGATTGATTTTGAAATAGATATGACCCGTGTCATATGTGACCTTGTTAATGGGCCTTGCTCACCATAGAGTCTCAAACATTAGGAAAGCGAAAGCATGGCTACGCCAGGCATGGGGGAAAGGTTCCTCCACTACCCTAAAAGAGCTGGCTCATTCTGTGCTATGCCGCCTGAAACACAAAGTCCTTGTAATAAAAAAAAGGGGGACATGCAAGATACTGAAATTTTCCATGGATAAATTGTAAACATGGGTTTTTAACTTCCAAGGCTTCATAAAACAAACAGTTCGGAAAGTTCAAAAAAGGACGCGAACTTTTAAAACACCCCGTTTGCGCATTACACGATTTTAAAGCCTTGTCTCACTTCTGCTATTATAACATAATTGTATGTATAGCGCTTCACTTACATTGTACATCTAATATGGCTATTATCAAGGAATCGTTTCCAACTTCATTGTGGGCGACACACAGATATCCTCCTCTGTGTTCTCGGTTCGCAATGGTTATCGCCAATTGTTTTTTGTCTTCTGAAATGCTGATCCTATGGTTGTTAGCTATATCAGACCCATCTTTTGTCCATGATAAAGTAGGGAGCGGATTTCCAGTAGCATTACAGTGTAACGTAACGTTTTCTCCTTCTCTTTTCGTCATATTACTAGGATGAGTGGTGATCTTACTTTGATCTACAATTGTAAAACAAATGCCCCC